CTTTTAAAAACTGAAAAAAAAGATATGATCTAATTCCAGTCCCATCAAGTGCAAAAATTCCTTCTCCAGCATCCCTGACAGCCATCTACAGTCCCTGATACCTCCGGTCAGGAGTCCTGCTCACTCACACACTCCCTCCACAAGCAAGCACTGAGTGACTGCGACAAGCCCAGCTCCACGGGCCCCGGACACACCAGGGACCGGGGCAGACAGAAAATATAATAGTCAAATGTCAATAGGCTGTGGGGACTTGATGGGGGCACCTAAGTCAGCCTGGAAGGAGGAAAGACCAGGGCTCAGGGAAGGGCTCACAGACCGCTGCTGCCAGGTGGGGCTGGAGGAGGAAGGCACCTCAGGCCCCAAGAAACCAGCCTGCACTGAGGTAGGAGGCACAGCAAGGGAGCATGCCCAGTGCCGACTTCAGGGGTGAGCAGTGATCAGAATGGAGGGGCACAGGTGTAGGTACAAGAAAAGGGCCTGAAAGGAAAAAACTAGCAGCAGGTCTCTAGGGGCCTCATGAGCCACACCACAGAGCTGGCTGTGCCCGGAGGACAACCAGCACACAGCAAAAGATGCAGCGGGGAAGACGGGAGTCAGATTTACTTTTCAGAAAGGTGAGCAAGATGAAGGCTACAGGAGCAGGGAGCAAGGAGGCTGGGGACAGAAGTCAACATACTGGCAAAACCAGCTTCAAGCCTCTAAGCCCAAGTTGTGGGCCTGTACCAGGGTAAGGGTCTCTCAAGACCTCCTAGAGGACAGCCTGAGTTCACTATGCACCCCTACACCCCACTGCTGTTACATAGACTGAAACCCACCTGTTCCCATTTTGGTAACCTCTAAGGTTAGCCCCCAGCCAACCACCCACTGGGTACAGGAAGGGCTGTGTTAATTTTACTCCGGGTACAGGTCCAACTCCACTCCTCCACGAGGGCTACTTGGCCTGACAAAGAAGGCAGGCCCTGGGGGTGACCTCCTCCAACATCCAGGCAAACATGGCCCAGGCTCAACCTAACCAGAAGGCCTGACACCCAAGTTTCCAGCCCACAGTGAGAAGCTCAGGAAGGCACAAATCTACTCCTGTACGACTGACACAGGATTCCTTTTAAGACAGTATAGCTCTTCAGACAGCAACCAGGAGACAGACGAATGGTGGCAGAGTGGGAAGAAGGGAAGAAAAGAAGAAAGGAGGCAGAGAGGGAGGGACGGAAGGAGGTAGACACCAGAGGCTGGGAATGCAAGACGAGAAGAGAAACTCCCATATGAACAGGGAAGAGGAAAAGCAGCTGCTGCAGCCCCCCTAGCCCTGGCTAGGCCACCTGTCCTCAAAGGAGGCCCCAAAGAAGGAAAGAGGGCTTGGAAGCCTGGGCATGCAGCCTCCAGCCACCAGGCCTGAAGCAAAGTGCCTGTAAAGTTCCCTATTTCATACTTACAGCTTGAAGAACTTGTGTATAACATAGCCTTGTTTGCTTTATTATTCAGTTTTAAATCACTGTCTGTAACTCTGGGGCTCCAGAACAGGTGGGATCACATGCAAAGCACAGCGTTCAACACACACCACTGAAACTCTTCCTTAAGCCATCCCACTAAATGTAAGACACTCACCCTCCACTACTTGTTACTCACATTGGTAAGTTCAAAACGCCAGTACTACAGCATTACCTTGTTGAGACAGCATTTTCCAATTATCTGGAGTAGCTCATTTGTTCTTTCAGGCTCATGCCCGGCCACAATTCGGGCTGGTTTTGCTGATAATGGCTCTCCTGAAACCAGTACAACCACGTCTATGGCCTTCTGTAGGAAGCTAATTTTTGCATCCTTATCCTGAAATGTTTCCATTTAAAATACGAACATTAAAATACTTCAAAGAGTTTGTATTATTTTCAGTTTGTTAATAGACACAAGATAGATCCTGTTTATTAAAAAGCTATTTTCAGATTTATGACAAATTTTAAAATACTGACCTTTTATAACGAAACAAAAACGATTCACTAAAGTTTTTAATTTAGTGATGGGCTAGTATTAACCTTTGAAATATTAATTCCATTTTTCAGTGAATAAAATTGCATGATATGCAGTTGCCACAAATGAGAAAATAAAATGATAAAGGTATGTACATCAATCCACGAACAGACCTTGTATTCCAACCATATTTCAGCATATAAATGATACATGCCACAGTACACAGCCTGTGAAAAGTCCCCACACATGAAGGAGAGGGGTGGGGAGGCAGGAGGAACCCCACGCAAACCTACCTTCACGTTATCAGACTTCATCTCAGCATCTGTGTAGAGGCCCTTCATGAAACCAGTCATTCTTATCACCTGCAAAAGATAAAGAGAGGCCATCACAAACCCTCAAAAGACAGCCTCTTCATCAGCCTCATCCACTGAACCCCTGTCAGAATCCACCCACTTACTCAACAAATACCTGACACCTACTACGCCGGGTGTTGGGCCAGGCAGAACCCGGCCTGGTCCTCACAGAGCTCAATCTGGCTACGGGGACGGACAGGGAAAGATTACAAACACCTTGCAGGTGCTAAGGAAGCACACAGGATTGTACCTGATCCACACTCGGGGAGGGGGCGGGGTGTCAGGGAAGGCTTCCCATGAGAAATCATGAACTGGGTCCAGAAGGCTTACAGAAGAGTTGGGGGAGGGGGCACTTCAGAAGCACGTGCCAGACAAAGAAATAGCCTGTACCAGGTCCACGGCCCCCGAAGGATCCTGTTTTAGGGACTGAAAAAAGTTTGGGCGGCAGGAACCTGAAGCCAGAGATACACGGGCCTGACCTAGTGGTTCTTGGGGCCATTCAGTAACAGGAACTTAGCCTAAGGCCCAAAAGGAGGCCCAGGACAGTTTTAAGGTGGGGAGGGACCTGACCGCAAGAGTCCCTCAGGTGCAGTGGAGGAAATGGATTCCAGAAAGAAAAGCAACTTTTTAGCCTGGGTTTCTAAAACTGGAAGTTCCAGTGGGGTCCTGCTTCTCACTACCTGTTGTTAGTCACTTCTTAGGAGACTGGGGTGAGAGCACCCCATCATTTTCGTTCTCTCCCCACCTCCCCTCCCCTCAGGTAACCTGTACCTCCTAATTACCCCTAAAATCAGCTTTTAGGGCAGTGATTTTTTCTGTTCCTTCCCACCCCAGGGCCTGGGTTCTCTCAGACCATAGTTTTTAGAAACGTGGTAGGTTACTATAAAACCAATATAATGGGTAGCAACAGGCATTTTTTACAAAACGAAACAGAACAGCTGGGTCCCTTCCTCAACAGGCTGCGTGGTATGTAGTAAGAACAGGTAATGCCTATACATGTGTGTGCCAGGTCAGGTATTATTACTGTGAGACATGTTTTAAAAACAAGATAGTCCCACCCTAATATCAGCCTCCTTCTCTGGAATCAAGCTACAACTACTTAATTTGCATCATGTTAGCCATTAATTAATCTAGAAGTTTTCGTTCCACACCAAACTTCTTGAGAGCCATGCTACTGTTTTTCTTAAGAAGACAGGTGGAATATTAAGAGCATCCTGCATTTAAATATTGCTCTAACTTTTCACTCTGTCTTTCTTGGGGTTTTCTCAAGATGCTAGCAGTTAAAATTGTAAGCAATAATTCTAAATGACAAGAGACATTAATGTCACAGAATCAATGCTTAGCTTAATGAAAGAGGTAGTTACTAATATGGCAATTTGAATGCAATATTCAGGGACAGTAATGAATTTTCATAGGGCTGGGAGCTACAGCTCACACCTGTAATTCTAGCACTTTGGGAAGCTGAGGTGGGAGGCTGAGGCCAGGAGTTCGAGACTGCATGTCTGCAAAAAACAGAAAAATCAGCCAAGTGTAGTGGCCTGTGTCTGTACTCCCAGCTACTGGGGAGACTGAGGCAGGAGTTTGAGGATTCAGTGAGCTATGATGACACCACTGCACTCTAGCTGGGTAGATAGAGCAAGACTCTGTCTCACACACACACAAAAAATTTTCGTAGGAGGCTCTCCACCTATTATCTGAAAATGCCTTCCAGTATGTCAGTCCTTCTAACATCTTCATCAAGTAGGTGACAATAACGTATTTATCTTTAGACAGGTAGCGAAATTAACTTCAGCGTTACATTAGTGGAAAAGTCTGCGGAAGAAAATCGTTCCACACAACCTGTCTACCTGACCCACAGAGTCAGTGCCCACTTGAATGTTCCTCTTCCTCCCCCATGACGACGCCCTCCAGCCAACCACCAGGTAGTCACTGAGCTGCCACCCCAAGGCCCGCAGGATGAGGCACACACCCTGCGTCTCCCTCCTATAGCTCTGCATTCCGTGCGGCAGACAGGACTAACACAGAAGACAAAAGGTTTTGGAGGCCACAGCTATGGTGGATCGGGCTCGCATCTGGGCCTAACTCTTACTTGTTCTCCCCAGGTCAGAGGATAGACCCTGCCTACTTTCTAGGGTGTTGGTGATGCAGCACACTGTCCTGCTCCCACAGGGCCCCCGCACAGCCCGGACAGGCTGCGCCGCAAGTGCTGCATTAGCTGGAGGAGGGGGAGAAGACCACTGCAGACAGCCCTTGGGATGTGGGTGGATTCTGGAGCATTTTTAAGCACAAGCAGGGTTTTAAATAGAGTCACACATTCCGGGAGAGCACACGTTATAAGCTAAGGTGAGAGGGCAGAAGTGAGTAAAGCCAAGTCTCTGGAAGAATAAAGTGCCCAACCGGTGGAAAAGAGTGAGAAAGTTTGAAGACCACCACCGGAAGCCGGCAAGTTCAAACTCACTCCTAAACCCCGAAGAGTTCCCGAGTGCCCTCAGGGGCACCATGGAAATGGGCACTGCCCCCCTCTGTGGCGACACACCTGAGAGTTACCAGGAGCCTTGGCAGATTCCATTCAACAGGGAGTGTTTATCGTGTAATTTCTATGTACCTTGCCTGGTGCGGTTCACCCGAGATGAGCTCACAAATAGGCTGCAGTCTCTGCCACTGAGGAATTCACCAACCTCAAGCCGGCAAAAGCCGGACAACCAATTTCAATTGGTGCATGTGGTGCAGTTTATCGACAAATACTAAACTGCTCTCTTACCGTTTTTCCTGGCAGGTACCCCTACAACCACCTCTGATAAATTCACCCAATAGTATTTATTAACGCGGTGTGGAGGGAAACTGGGGGCTGGGGGGAGTAGAGAGAAAACTAATCCCATTCTCCCAAGATTTATGGAGCACCTTCCACGTGCTACCTGCTGCAGGGTACGGGAGAGGACTGTCACAGGGTTGGGGTCGGGCGACACAAAACCAGCTCTGGCAGGCAGAATGGAAGACGTGCTCTAAAGAGATACACAGGGAGGCGGGAAAGAAAGAAGAATGCTCCCTCGGGGGGCCGGGAGCCTCCCCGTAAGAGGCGGCCCAGGGGGACAGTGAGGGCGAGGACCTCCGTGCAGGGGGCACCGCAGAACTGGGCCTACTGGTCACCGCTCGGACTGCAGGCCGGGCTCCCGGGACAGGGGCCGCTCAAGCTCGCCCCGACCCCAGCCTCTGACCTTGACTGGGTCCCTGACCCCGACCCTGGGCCGACCAGCACCCCGGCCCAGATCCGGCCCCCGGCCCCGGCCCCCACCCCGCACCCCGACCCAGATGACGGCCCAGCGCCGGACCTCCGACCCGCACCCTGACCCCGGCCCACACCCGGGCCCCGGCCGGCACCCGGCCCTGACCGGACCCCGGCCCCGACCCCGGGCGCCCACCTCCGTGATGATGTCGTGCAGGTAGCGGAACGGGGGCTTGCTCAGCAGCTTCTCCGTCAGAGGCGGCCTCCGGATCACCTTGCCCAGCGCCTCCTGCGTCCGCCTCACCACTGCCGCGTTCATGGCGGCGCCCGCTGCCCGGCTGGCCGCCCGCGCCCTCCGTCGGCCCGGCCGAGCCTAAGCCCGGGTCCCTGGCCGCCGCCGGCCCCGCCGCCGCCGCCGGGCCCCGCCGTGACGCGCCGCTTGGGTTTCCATCCCACAGTGCACCGGCGCCCGCCACGGCGCCTGCGCGGCGGCCTCAGGGCGTTCGGTCGCCAAGGCTGCGCGGCCTTAGCAACGGACGCGCCGCGCCGCGCCCGGCCGCGGGAGGACTGGTCGGTGCACGGGCTGTGTCGCCCTCTCGCGGCCGGGAAGGCGGGCGCTCGCCCTCGTAGGCGGCCCGGGCAACAGCTGCCTGACTTCCGAGACTGCGCTGCCTGCCTCACAGTCCAAGGGTCGCGTAGGCGTCGGTTCACCGGAGGGGGGCAGGACTGTGTTACCCCAGAGACACGGAATAGAAAATACACCGTCCTGCCTGGCACTTGATGTGGCTTCTGGGTCTTCTGTAACTCCTTGTTCTTCAGTCTATCATGTTTCTGGCTGCCTTCGAGATTTTATTTTTATCAGTGGTTTGCCAGAAGGTTGCACGTGATGTATCCATTAATAGATGCGAGGGTCTTTTTCACCTAAAATTTATATTATTCCACAGCCCGTGGAGAGCAGGGGGCCACGGGGCCGAAGGAGGCCCTGTGGAGGCCCGGAGGGCAAGGGCCTGACTGCTCTCGGGACTGCCTGAGCATCAGGGCCTCTGAGAGCATCCGGGACAAGGAAGCAGAGTCACCCAACCCTGCCACGAGCCGGACTCAGGGGAGGTGGCCCTGGAGCAGACACACGTCCCTGGACACTGCAGCCTTCGGGGGGCACGGATTCTGCCCTAGGCCAGCAGGTCCGAGAAGATGCAGCTAAGGATTCCTGACTCCAGGAAAGAGACCTGGAACCGAGGCCTCCCGGGGGCCGGGGTAGAGGGTGTGAGTGGGGGGTACAGAGGCCCCCTGAGCCCACAGTTCTGAAGGCTCCAGACTGGGAGGGGGGCCATGCAGCCTAAATTACCCCTGAGCTTCTCAGAGTCATAAAAGCTCTGGGGAGAAAGGCAGAGAACACAAAAAAGAATCATTCATAAAAAAAGATAATTGATTAAAGGACTATAGAAAATCACAACAAAGAAAGTGTTTGAAACGGAAAAGGCAGGCAGGAGACGCTTTTGAAATAAGCAGTTTCTGAATGAATGCTAACCACGGCTATGACTCACTCCAGGATAGAGACCCACAAAGCAAGGTGCCTTCCAGGCCCTACCTCCCCTCACCTGGAGACAAACATTCCCAGAGACAAAGGCCTGGGGAGGCTGACTTGTCCCCACCTCATGAACTCCACATCTGCAAGAGCCCAGGATGTGGGTCAGGACGGGGAAGGGCGGTTGAGGGGGGTGTTGGGGAGCAGGCACCAGGTCGTAGAAGTCCTGCAGCTCTGCGGTTGGCCTCACCAGCCCTGGACCCACAAAGACAGTGGGGGCTGACGCCAGAGCTACCAGATAAAGTGCAGGATGTCCACTTCCATTTGAATTCCAGACAAACAATTTTTTATAGTACAAGAATATCCCAAGCAATATTTGTGACATCCTTATACTAAAAGATTTTTCAGTTTTTATTTGAAATTCAAATTTAGCTGAGCATGCTGCATTTTTATTTACTAAGTCTGACAACCCTAGCCATGGGAGCCAATGTGTGACCACTGGGCAGAAGGTAGGTGAACTAGGCCCAGGAAGCCCAGCAAAAACAGATTTCTCCCACAGGTAGGAGGACTTTCTTGTGATTGCTGTGGCTATTTCCCCAGCTTGGGTACAAAAGAAGGTCCCCAACTTCCCAAAGTCCAGCTCAGATGTTCTTGCCCCATCACTGAGTCTCTATTTCTGTCTCGTGCAAGCAGAGGGCCCTGTGGGTGCCACAAAGAATGGGGAGGGAAATACACAGTGAGCAGACCATAATACTAGGAGCTCTCCCTGCTGCAGTCCTAGCAGTGCGGGAGTCCACTGCTCTCCCTCTCGCCAGGAGGCTCTCGTGACTTTGAAGGGGTTGGGGTCTGGTTCCCATTGTCCCCAAAGGCCTCTGAGCAACTCGTGCCGATTTCACAATCTTTCAGCCCTGCTGGTCAGTGGCTTCTCTTGGGTGAGGGGTATAAGGTCTGCCTCTTCAGGCAGCCTGGGACACCCTTCCTTTGCCCAAGTCAGTGTAAAGATGACACCAGGAGAGTAGGGCTGGGGGATCCTTCACGCCACAGGCCCCACCTGCATGTGAGAAGAAGAACCACTGTGGATAGGAGGTTTTCAGATGTCTCAAGGGGGCCTCTAATGATAACTCCTACTGGACACTCTCCACTCTGATCAGGTTACACAGAGCAAATTTTATTATATTTATAACTTAGTTTTATTTTTTACTTATTTATATTTTTAGAGACAGGATCTTACTCTGTCACCCAGGCTAGAGCGCAGTGGCGCGATCATAGTTCACTGTAACCTCCAACTCTGGAGCACAAGTGATCCTCCTGCCTGAGCCTCCCGAAGTGCCGGGATTACAGGTGGGAGACACCACACCTGGCCTAGTTTTATTTTTTAGCATGTTATTTATTTATTTATTTATTTTTCTCAAATCTCCTCAGCTTTATTAAGGTATAATTGACAAATAAAAATTGTATATACATTGTATATACAAAAATTGTATATACAAATAAAAATTGTACTGCATACAGTGTAATGTTTTATGTACATATTATAAAATGTATTAAATTAAATGTGTTATATTTACATGTATCAAACTAAATGTATTAAATTTATTGTATTGTATTTACATGTATTAAACTAAATGTTTTAAATTAAAATCAGCTAATTAACGTATCCACTGCCTTTCATACTTATCTTTTTGTGGTGAGATAATTTAAGATCTAGTCTTTTGGCAATGTTCAAGTGTGTAATACGTTATTATTTACTCTAGTCGCCATGCTGTACAATAGATCTCCAGAATTTACTCATCCTGTCCAACTGAAATTTTGTACCCTTTGAACGAACACTTCCTCATTTCACATACACTCCCCTCACCCGGTGCCTGGCAACCACTATTTTATTATCTGTTTCTATGAGTCCAACTTCTTTAGAGTTCAATATTTGTCTTTCTGTGCCTCGTTTATTTCATTTAACATAATGTCCTCTACTTTCATCCATGTTGTCACAAATGACAGAATTTTCTTCTTTTTTAAGGATGAACAGTATTCCACGGTGTATATATAACACATTTTCTTTATCCATTCATCCACCAATAAACACTTAAGTTCTTTCTGTATCTTGGCTATTGTGAATAGTGCTGCAATGAACGTGGGAGTGTAGAGATCTTTTCAACATAGTGATTTCATGGCCTTTGGATATATCCCCAGAAGAGGGGGACCGCTATACGGTTTTCCATAATGGCGGTGCTAATTTACGTCACCACCAATACTGTACAAGTTTTCCCTTTTCATCATATCCTCGCCAACACTTGTTTCTTTTGTCTTTTTGATAATGGCCATTCTAACAGGTGTGAAGTGAGATCTCATTGTGGTTTTGATTTACATTTTCCTGTTGATTAGTGAAGCTGAGCATTTTTTCACATACTTGTTGGCCATTTGTATGTCTTCTTTTGAGAAATGTCTATTCAGGTCATATGACCATTTTGGAATTGGGTTATTTGTTTTCTTGCTGTTGAGTGGTTTAAGCTCATTATATATTCTCAATATTAACTCCTTGTCGGATGTATATTTGAAAATATTTTCTCCCATTCTGTAGGTTGTCTCTTCACTCCATTGTTTCCTTTGCTGTGCAAAAAGCTTTTTAGTTTGATGCAGTCCTAATCAGGGGTGGGGAACCTGCTGCCTCAAGGCCACATGTGGCATTCCAGATCCCCAAGCGCGGCCCCTTGACCGAATCCAAACCTCACAGGACAAATCCCTTTATTAAAAAGATTTGTTCTGGCTGGGCACAGTGGCTCACACCTGTAATCCTAGCACTCTGGGAGGCTGAGGCGAGAGGATTGCTTGAGCTCAGGAGTTTGAGACCAGCCTGAGCAAGAGTGACACCCTGTCTCTACTAAAAATAGAAAAATTAGCTGGGCATCATGGTACTTGCCTGTAGTCCCACCTACTCAGGAGGCTGGGGCAGGAGGATCACTTGAGCCCAGGAGTTTGAGGCTGCAGTGAGCTATGATGACACCACTGCACTCTAGCCTGGTGACAGAGTGAGACTCTGTCCCCCCAAAAAATAAAAAGTAAAAATAAAAGGATTTGTTCTGTAAAATTTGGATTCAGTCAAAAGGCCACACTCAAGTATCCAGAAGGCCACATGTGGCGGCCCCAAGGCCACGGGTTCTGCAGCCCCTTTACATTTAAGTTTTTAATCTATTTTGAGTTGGGTTTTGTATACGGTATGAGATAAGGGCCCAACTTCACTGCTCTGCATGTGGATATCCAGTATTCCCAACACCGTTTATTGAAGACACTGTCCTTTCCCCATTGTGTGTTCTTGGCACCTTTGTTGAAGATCAATTGACTGAGTTCTCCGCCTGGGATATCCTGACCTGCACTGTGTGAAAGCCTGAAGTTTCCTCCCACTGACCTCTTGGGTCCCTCCTCAGATGCTCCTGTGGCTGCCATCTGGCTTCCTCCGGGCCCACACTTGAACAAGAATGTGTAACTGGCTGTACAGGGTCTCTTCCCAGCTGGAGTGCAAGATCCAGGAAGGCAAGAGCGGGATTCCAGATGTCTCCTCCGAGCACCCATGAGTATTGGCTGAATGAACGTGTGGGTGCTTGAAGGAGGAAACCATAAAGGAAGAGTGGCCTCCTCAGCAAGGGTGGCCCTCCCTGGCCACTGTAGTGGACGCTGTGGTGTGACACACAGATGCCCCCCTCGGGACCAAGGCCCTCTGCCCCAGCTGCCGGGACTGTCAGTCCTTGTGGGCTCACAGCCAAGCTCCTCTCAGGGGACACTTAGCCAAAGGGTCTACC